TGCCATTTCCAAGTTCCTTTTGTGCTTATTGTCCTCATCTTCCATATGGTACTTAGCATCTACTGCCTGGAAATGAGTAGGGTCTTGAATGATTTAAAAAAAAAAAAAAAAACTACTATTCACCCAGTCTTCCACATCAGATTTTTAAGTTTTTATCTTCAAATTTCTGTTGTCTTTCTCTCCACTTAAGAACTATCCTTTGTTGGAAGCCTTGTTCAAGTCTCAACTCCCTTATGAATACTTTCCCACTTGCTCTATCTTTTAAACAGTATTACAAAGACATTTACAAAATAAAAACAAAGAGTGTAGGTATATTCTCTGACATGAAGATAATAAACAAGTATGATGATGATAATAGCTGAAGTTTAGAGAACAGATACTGTTTTTCTTCCTGCCGCACCTCATATAACATAACGAATAATTGAATGCCCTTCAACTAATAGAATTATCTGTAGAAGTATCTTAAAAGAAATTAATATGCCTAAATGAATTTGTTCCCCACCCTACCCACCAAATAATCAGTGCTTGTTTCTCACCTGATATATTGATTCTCGGCTAGAAATTTGTTTAATTAAAAGTTTGGTTGCCTCTTGACTTTTTACATAGCCTTTTGTGATACTATACATCAAGCTGAGGCGCTTTTTAATTAGCACATCTACAATATTTATCAGGACCGGTATTGTTACCTGCAATAATGGGGAAGGAGAAAAAAAAAAAAAAAATTGTAAATTGGGAGAAATGAAGCACCCCCTAAGGCAAAGATTCTCAATGTGTAAAGTTTTAGGAGAGGAAGAGGACAGAATGTTTATAAGCATGCAGATTCATTTCCAACATGACAGATTTTGTATGTGTAGGGTTTTATCCATCCAGTTGTCATCTCACTGCTACAATGGTAAGCATTGGAACACAGGGGAACTATGTGATTGCTGTTTTCTATAAATAAATAACAATAATCTGCCCTGCACCAGAAACCTCACATATGCATTTAGGATAATATGAATAAATACTAACATTAAAAACGTAGTTAGTTTTGCTGAAAACTAAAAAAAAAAATTAAGATATTTCAATCAGGATGAGAAATAGCTGGTCAGCCTCTGGCTCACAGCCTTGGATAACTTGTCTTTGGGTCACTCTTTCAAATGGCCCCAAGATTTTCATTCATTCATTCAACATATATGTACTAAGTACTGACCATATGGTAGGGAAGAGCCTCTGGGCGGTGCAAATGGCAATAGCGCTCAGCTGCTAACCAAAAGGTTAGAAGTTTGAGTCCACCCAGAGGCTCCTTGGAAGAAAGGCTTGGAGATATACTTCCAGAAAAGCAGCCATTGAAAAGTCTGTGGGACACAGTTCTACTCTGACATACCTGGGGTCTCCATAAGTAGGAGTTGTCTAGAAGGCATATGCTAGGTGGGAGCTCTGGTGGCATAGTGCCTAAGGCATTTGACTGCTAACCAGAAAGCTGGCGTTCAAACCCACCAGCCACTCCTCTGTGGGGCAATCTACTTCCTCAGTGCTATCACCTCAGAAACCCAAGGAGGGGTCACTAGGTAGCACTGTAGAGCTTTAGGTTACATCAGAGACCAAAACAAAGATCTCTGCCCTCCTGCAGAGTACACACAATAAATAAAGTAAATAGGTGAGAAGTGCTGTGGGAAAAAATGAAAGATAAGTAGGTGGAAAAGGGTCTGGAGGAGGGGTGGGGAGCTGGGGGTGTGGAGGATAAATTGTCATTTAGATAAGGTGGTAAGGGAAACAAAGTTTCGGTAACAAGGTGAGATTTGAGTAAGGCTTGAAGAAAGGAATAAACAAAGTGAGGGAATGAACGAAGCCTATCATATCTGTGAGGAAATGTTTCAGGAAAAGAAATAGCTCCCTCTATCATTTCTTCCAAAATAATGAATGTTCTGGTTACCTACTCTGACAAGAAACATACCACAAATGGGATGGCCTTAACAAACAGGAGTTTATTCTTACAATTTAGAGGCTTTAAGTTCAAGTGCAAAGTGCCAGGCTCTAGGGGCTGGCTCCTAAACCTTGGGGTCCAGCTCTGCCTCCTGCTTCCGGCCCACTGGAGCTAGAAGCTTTTCTTCACTCAGACAGCTGCTGGCTGCTGAGGCTGAGAAGCCCCAAGGTTGACAAGTAAAAAGGCACAGTCCCGATGTTACCAAACCACCTGGCAGGCCATTAACTTAAGTCCATTGTAAGTCCCAAAGTCGGCAGAGCATAGCAGATTGCTGAGCAATGACACAACTACATGCAGGGTCCAAGCGTGCCATAGGCTAGAGACCATTCCCAAGGCTTCTCCTTAAATACAGGAAGCAGACCACATCCCAAAGGCAGCTACTCAGCTGTCTGTGGTAGATCCCACCATGGAGCTGATTGCCAGTCTCATCATGAGGAATAACTACCACCAGCTAGCTGCCCAGCCATTCAACCAGGCCCAGCCAAGTTGACACACAAACTGAACTACCACAGTGAGTCTTCTTAACTCATTTAAAAACAGTTTAAGGAAAACACACACACACACACACAACACACAAAAATTTAAAAATGTGAAGTCTTACCTTGATGATAGGAAGAAACCTAATCATTCTGACATATCCTAATATTATTGTAATCTGAATAAGAATCAAGTTTTCTGGTCTCAATCTGACAGAGTATATACAAAAGATATCAACTAGTCCAACTGCCATGATAAGAAATTCCAGAGTATTCCAACATTGTTGAAAATATTTCCTTTTCAAAATCATTATCTGTTGAGGGTATTAAACACCAATAGAATACATATCATCTCATGGTGCCTATACAATGATGTGGGGGATGGGGGTTGCATCTTAGAAATTAATAGTAAGTCCTCAACTATAAATGAGTTATATTCCAAAAGTTTAGCTTGAGGTCATTCATTTAAAACTAAAAAGCAATTTTTAACCCTTGACATCAAAAAATTATCATTTGTTTCATAATATATAATCCATAATGAAGCTAGAATCCCAAAAGTGAGCAGCAAAAAATCACAGTAAACAGGTTCATTGCAACACTGTTAATAATAGTTAAATAACATGAAAATAGTAATAATGATAAGTCATTTGTGAGGCATTTTTTCTACATAGAAATTATATTTTGATGAGGACCTAGCAAACCGGTCTGAAAGAGCCATGTTTGGATTTCCAATTTTCTTTATTTGATCCTTGATATTCTCTGCATGCTCATCTTACTTGATGTCCTAGACTGTGTCTTATCATAGTCTTGGGAGAATTTTTACTGATTTAATTATTAAACTCAGAAAATTCAAGAAAATAAAAAATCCAGGATCCCATCAATTATGATAGCAAATGAATTATTGAATTATTTCAGTAATATATAAAAAAGATCCAAAATATCTGAATTCTTCTATCTATAAAATATATTTCTATTTTAAACAGTACCTTAAACGTTGTTTGTAATATATATAAAAGCATAAAATAGTAGTTTATTGATATCAGTGCTGTTACATTTAATTCTCTTGCCATTTGCCATAAATGCACTATCATAGGATAAATATATATTAATGTTATAATATATTGAGCATACTCAAATTCTTCTGAAAAGACAGTGTGATATATAATAAATGAAAATTTATTATTCCTGAAAAAAAATGAGATCAAATGTCAGATCACTTATAGATATAACAGGTAAGATCTAAAGTTCAACATTTATTTAAGCAGTAGTCAAAACATTAACATCAATTTGAAGAAGTGTATAAATAATATAAAACAATACATAAGCAAAAAATCAAAAGCATAAATTCTGTATATAAAAACCATACTGGGAAAAGATAAAAATATGGCTCTTGTTAATCTATAATGTTGTGTTGTTGTTGTTAGGTGCCGTCAAGTCAGATCCCACTCATAGTGACCCTATGTAAAACAGAATAAAACACTGCCTGGTCCTGCACCAGCCTCATAATCCTGGCTATACCTGAGACCATCACTGCAGCCGCTGTGTCAATCCATCTCATTGAGGGTCTTCCCCTTTTTCGCTGACTGTCCACATAACCAAGTATGATCTCCTTCTCCAGGGAATGGTCCCTTCTGAGAACATGACCAAACTAGGTGAGACAAAGTCTGGCCATTTTCACTTCCAAGGAGCATTTAGGCTGGACTTCCTCCAGGACAAATTTATTCGTTCTTCTGGCAGTCCATGGTACTTTCAGTATTCTTAGCCAGTACCACAACTCAAAAGCATAAACTACTCTTCCTTCTTCCTTATTCATTGTCCAGCTTTTACATGCATACAAGACAATTGAAAACACCATGGCTTGGGTTAGGCTCATCTTCAAAGAGACATCTTTGCTCTTCAGCACTTGAAAGAGGTCTTTTGCAGTAGATTTGCCCGGTGCAGTATGTCGTCTGATTCCTTCACTGCTGCTTCCATTGGTGTTGATTGTGGAACCAGTAATATAAAATCTTTGACAGCTTCAATACTTTCTCCACTTACTGTGTTGCTGTTTATTGGCCCACTTGTGAGGATTTTAATTTTCTTTATGTTGAGATGTAATCCATACTGCAGGCTCTACTCTTTAATCTTCATCAGTAAGTGCTTCAAGTCATCTTCACTTTCAGCAAGCAAGATTCTGTCAGCTGCATATCACAGGCTGTTAATGAGTCTTTCTCCAATCCTGATGTCACGTTCTTTTTCATATAGTCCAGTTTCTAGGATTGAATAAGTATGGTGAAAGGATACAACTGTGACTTATTCCCTTCCTGATTCTAAACCATGCAGTATTCCTTTGTTCTGTTCCAACGACAACCTGCTGGTCTATGTACAGGTTCCTCATGAGCACAATTAAGTGTTCCAGAATTCCTATGCTTCTCAATGTTATGCATAATTTTTTATGGTCCACACAACTGAATGCTTTTGCACAGTCAATAAAACACAAGTAAATATCTTTCTGGTATTCTTTGCTTTCAGCCAAGATCAATCTGACATCAGCAATGATATCCCTTATTCCACCTCTTCTTCTGAATCCAGCTTGCATTTCTGGAAGTTCTCTGCCAATATACTGCTGTAACTGTTTTCAAATTATCTTCAGCAAAATTTTACTTGTGTGTGATATTAATGATATTGTTTGATAATTTCCACATTCTGTTGGATGATCTCTTTTTGGAATAGGTACAAATACGGATCTCTTACAGTCAATCGGCCAAGTATCTGTCTTCCAAATTTCATGGTATAGTTGAGCAAATGCCTTCAGCATTGCATCCATGTGTTGAAACATGTCAGTGGGTATTCCATCAATTCCTGGAGACTTGTTTTTCACCAATTCCTTCAGTGTAGCTTCAACTTCTTTCTTCGATACCATGGTTCTTAATCATATGCCACCTCCTGAAAAAGAAGAACATCAACCAATTCTTTTTGGTACAGTGACTCTGTGTATTCTTTCCACCTTCTTTTGATGTTTTCTGCATCATTCATTATTTTTAAAAAGTACATTCATCTTCACAAAGCATGTTTCAAGATCTGTCCTGAAGTACAATGCTGTCAGTGATAGGATAATATCCATAC